ACATTTTAAAATAAAACTAGCTTACCAATTAACTTTATCACTTCCCTGTTAACTGTTTTCTTTGAAATTCAGGTCAGTTTTATACTAAGAATTCAAAAATTATTAATTTACAATGGTTTTTGAAAAACACACAATCATTTCACAAGTATTTCCATGTAAATCATTTTTAAATAATTTCATATAAAACTTAAAAAAAACAAATTGGGAGAGAGTGTTATGTTGTTTCAGTCCAACATTTTAAACTGAGGACACCTAAAAAATTTTAATTCTTTTGGAAATTATTTTGAACATTTGATGTTTTTTTGTATGTGTATGTATCAGACTTTATATTCAAGTTAAATTAAACACCAACATATCACCACAATATAGTCTCTTACAAGCACAATAGGAAAGATATACTGAGAATTTCAAATAGATTGATTTAAAAATTAACACCAAAAATTTACTGTCTAGACAATATTAAAATGTGGAAGATTCTTTCTGTATTTTTAAAGATGTAATAAATTTTAAGTAGAATTTGTTAAATTTCTTTTATTTACTCCATGATGGATTATTGCATTAACATGCAATTTTTATATCACAGAAGAACAAAAATAAGACAAAATCTTACTTCAAATTAATTATTTTCTTAAATAAAAAAAATATACTTCCCCTTCCAAATACTGAGAATGTACCAAACTGAAAAACTGTGTTAACAGATGGAAAGTTTGACAGACTAATGGCGACTTTGAAAAATAAGAAATTGAAGAATTAATAGATACTGCACTATATTTTGAAATATCTACATAGTCCCCCTTTTTTTGCACAATTCACCACTTGTCTTTCACTATTGTTTATTTTTCTATAAATTGGAAAGAAAATATTCTTAATTTGGGAGATCCACATAGGCCTATAGTACACAATAGATTCTCCTTTCCTCATACAATGACCCAACTCCATAATTACTTCTGTAAACACTCATTCACATGCTTCCAAATTTCTGTTCACAGAGCACTAAGGCTTCTCCCTGTAAAAATAAAGGAAATGTCACTGATGCTTTTCAAAGTTAAAATTTGCATAAAGTTAGATTGTTTTTCTATAATCATTTTTGTATTGATATAATAAATATTTGCAAAATTCACATTATCTAAAATAATTTAAAAAAAAATTAAGACTGATGTTATAGTGATTATTCTTATTCTTATGACATGTGAAAGCAAACCACGTTAAATAATTGTTGTAGACAAGGGAGCTTACCTCTATAAATAATCGCCAGAGCCAGAATATCAAACTGAGCAATTCTTTTCTTCTCTCGTGAATATTTTTTACTTCTCTCACTTTCTACATTTCCTCCTTAGCACATTTCATGAAGGCGGATTCCGTGAAATTCATGACCGCATGATGAAATGCAAGTTAAAATACAAAATAACAATTACATTCTCCAAAGCAAACCACAATGTGAATTCCGCTGCCAGAACAAAAAATTCAAATAAAGGTACGCGCCTAGCACCGACTCTCCGTGGGCTCCACACAGCTGTTTGCCGCATGTTGCAGGGGGAATGAGTAAGGTTGACCTCTCCTCTCAGCATCAAACATGCACAATATCGAGCGAAAAAAAAGGCCTATGGACCTCCGTAGTCTGTAATGGCTTCCATTGCGTTAGGGGAATTGAATTTAGGTTTGACTCCTACTGCGGTTTCAACTTAAATCTAACCAAAAGTCCCTAAGCCAATTAAGGAAGGTATGGGGTGATTTACCAAGGTTTGTATGGAAGGACGAGTAGTTGGCCGAATGTCCTGTAGAGCATCTGGCAATTCGAGCGGCGCTGCTTCGTGATGCTCCAACATGAACACATCAGCGCTGCTAATTTCGCAACAACTCTCTCTTCGCTCTCATCGTTTATCGCCGCTCCAACATAAACGTACCCTAAGCATGGTGGAAAGATTGGCTATTGTGCGACGTATCCGACTTCAGCCAATGAGCTTCACGCACCAGTTTGAGTCAAAATATTAGCGGGAATTTTAAATGCAGCCACATTCCATTCTCATCTTGATATAAATAATAAAATCAGATATATAAAGCATTTCTTTTAAGTATTGCATCTTATACACCTCTGTAATTTTGTGTTTTTAGGGTGATCACCGTTCCAAATTGCCACTTTCAAAATGTTTGGCAACACTTCTCACTCCAGCGTCTGATCTGATCAGTGCCCAGGGTGTGGTCACGTGGTTCGTGACGCAAACTAGTGCTGCGCGGAGCGAACAAAAATCGGTGCGCTGGAGCCGAGCCCTCCGTATCTTTTCATATTATTGTAGAGGAGTTTGCCGCTTGCGTTCTCTCCTGGTTCTCTCATGTAGCGCATAGTTCTCTTATAAGTAACCTCAAAACGCGCTCTTTTTGTATGTCTGAGTGGAATTGTGAGTGTAAAAATTTAGGACTTAGACAGTAACAAAGAAAAATCAAACGAGACGCGTGTCTGTATTCAGGACATATCCCGCTTTTTCAGGATATGTGACAACCCTACTCCCTTCATCTTTCATTTCAAAATCTCTTTGAGAGTCCTTAAGGTGAAAGAAATATGAATTTTATAGACAAAGTCTAATTACAATCTCAACTACTAGAAATTTAGTTGTCAACCTATTGATATGGGACTTGTAGTTGGTCAAAATTACTGTTTCTTATTAAACACTATCATATGCACGTAATACTTTATTGAAAGTGTTCCCGTGCATTGTAAGATGTACACTTCTCATTCATCCTTTCCTTTTGTACAGGCAGAGTTGCAAAGGAAAATGAAAAAAATAAATATGTTCACAAAGGAAAATTGGCTGTGGTCACTCCTATTGTCAGTCAGTGTAATGTTTCAGCATGATCCTGCGCTCTATTCTGACATGTAAATAACTCAACATTCAAGTATGGTTCTGTATTTTCTGACAGAAGAGTAGTATTTTATTCATCATTAGTAATAACAAAAACTGAAATTTGTGTGAGGTTGTGCTGTTCAGTGAACATCATTTTCACATCAGCAGAGATTTTCATAAAAATTTGAAAACGAAAACACACACAGACACCAAATGATCTCGGTTATTCACATTCCATTTCTTTGGTTAATTTTTACCAATTCTTTTGCCTGTATTATCAGTCTCAGTATCATCATGTTTGGAATAAGTTAAATTAATCTCATGAGAAAAAAAAGAACAGTTGCCACATTACTTGTTACAGTATACCAGATCCATGATACTGTAACAAGTTCCCTTGTTCCCCTATGGATCTGGTATATTGCACCTGTTCTTTTTTTTCGACACAAGAACTAAATGGATCTAAAATATTCCCCTTTCTTGGTAACTATTTTGCAAATCACAAATGTAAATGAGGCACAGAAGCCTAGAAGAATGTGAAAAACCTGTGAGTAATGAACACTCAATAACTATCTCAAAAAGTCTTTTTGTAAGGATAAAAACACTTGAATGAATGAAAACACATGAATCCCTCTGAATATGGTAGTGTATGCGTATATACTTGCATCTTGTTCCACTCTGTTTTCATATAAGCTTAATTGAGAACAGAAATGTTTTGAGAACAGTAAATTGCTTCTTCCGGTGCTTTTGTCTAATTTTAATCAATGTGAATTGGCTGGTTACCATGCTACCCAGAATGTAAATGAAATTATATCATGACGCTATCTCCTGAGAGGAGTGTATCTGTATGTTCAAATCTTTATAAAACTAAAATTTTAATAAAAGATGCATTTGCATGTGGTTATCAGATCCTATTACAAACTTAACGAATACATGAATTCTCAAGCCTGAATTACTGATGATTCTTGCATAACAACAAATTAAAAGGTTTCCCAAGTAACCTACCTTGGACTCAAAGGTTAAATACGAAACTGTTTAAGCCTCCAAATTGATGTTTTCACAGTCTCTATCCCAACTGAATTCTAAAATATCCAGATTATTGTTCCTTGACATATTACTAGGCACTAGTAAAATGGTTCCAGGAAAATAAACTCATCATAAACACCAGTAAAACTGTCTCCCTAAACTTTTGGAATCCACTCTCTAAAGAAAACCTCCAACACAATTGATGATAAACAACATGCCTGTAAAAATAGCCCAAAAAACAACTTTCCTTGGATTGACTATTCAAGATGATCTAACATGGAACTCGCATATCACAGATCTAAACAAGTTAACCAAGTCATGTTATGTCATATACGTCCTGATGTCAAATTCTAACTTAGATACACTGCGAATGGAGTACTTTGCAAATGTTCACTCACATCTAAAATATGGAATAATATTCTGGGAAAATTCCCCAGAAAGTATTCACACTTTCATCATCCAAAAATGAATATTGAGAACAATGACAACACTCACAAACATGAGTCCTGCAAATCACTGTTCAAAAAATTACAAATACTACCATTCCCATGGATGTACATATTTGAAATATTAACCTTCACAAAAATGAAACCTATGGGATTCTGTTACTCTGAATACAGAAGTTCATAACCATGATACCAAAGAAAAAAGAAATCTGCATGTTCCACACAGAGAAACTTCACTCTTTCAAAAAAGTACCCTTATAGAAGGCATTACATTATATAATAAACTTCCTCGTGAATTTAAAAGCTTAAACTCGATACACACATTCAAAAATAAACTGAAAGCTTTTCTGTTAAACCACACATTCTACAGTACAAAATAATATATACATCATAAACACAAACTACATCAATATAAACTAGTAGTAATAATTTTTTCATTTTCTGTTGTTGCATGTTTTCAAACCCCCGTAAACTGGTTGTTGGATGTAGAGGACGGATCCAGCCTAGGCATGAATCTCTGAAGAATTTCTTTTTTCCTTTATTATTATTATTATTATTATTGATTTTTAACTTAAGTCTTCTTACACTACCATGTATAAAATTAATTAGCTTTCCATGCTATTGTATTTAATACAAGAATTGAATTTTACATTAAATTTATGCCTTGTATTTAATTTTTAGAAATATCTGTATTGTGTATTGTATGATTATATATATATATCCTGACTTGTCATACATGGCATATACTGTATGTACGTGACAAATTTATTATTAATTACAATAATAATAATTATTATTGTATATAAATTAATATATCCATATAAATCCATATTTTTGTATGTAAATCAACGGTGCATAAATACAATTAAGAATTTTTGAAACTTTTCGCATTTAACTGCATGTACTGATAAATATGCCAGGGAAACATACTTTTATTATAGCTATTAATGAGGTAGAATCAAATTTCAATTCTGTTTTCAAAATTAAATTTTGTTCTTACCTTACAAATTTTTCACACATGATTCAAATACATGTGGCTCAACAAAAATAATGACTTCATTCATTCTCCTAAAATAACATGTTTATCAGAGGTGGCTCATAACAGTTGTAGCATGTTTGCACTACAACCAAAATAAATCAATGTATTTAATTATATATAGTTAAATATAATATGCTTACATTTCAACTTTTATAAATACTCATATGAGTCATAACAGATTTACAATTTTGTTGATATAATACAAGAGAATAATCCATGTGTGTTGTGCAGGCTTGATGGTTTACTTCATGTTTCTACCTGGGAGTTCCAATGCTAAAGCATAGGTTTCCCAAGTATCCACTTTGCAACCCACCTCCCAACAGAAGAGAATACATTGGCTACGAGATAGTAGGTGGTATTAAGAGGCTAATATCTCCATGACGTTAGTCAACATCTCAAAGTCCTGGGATGGGGGAGTTGTTAGACCAAGAAGATTGTAAAAGACCGTCATACAGCTTTTGCATAAGCAGCCTGTACAGTGAGTAGATAACAAGATCCCACAGGGCAGCAGTGAGACAACTTCATGAGAGTTGCAAAATGGGTGGAGCAAACACTTTGGTATTTCACCAACATTTGTGTCAATCTTTTGTTCACAAATTTCAATGGTTATTCAATTACTGAACTTTTAATTAAAAGTTTAAAAAAACTAATTCCTTATGACCTCTATAATAGAAATGCCATCCATCCTGTTCAATTGTTGGCGAGTGCTTGACTACTTAAGTATACACACCAGAGATCTATGTAAGGCAGGGTTTCTTAGCAAAGATAACTAGACCATCTTGCCACATAATTTTTATGAACTCCTTGAACGTAATTAAATGAGTCATTAACTTTTGATGTCACAAGCCACCACTTTTTATTATTATTCACTATATTAGAATGATCACTCAAGGCAATTTTATAAGGACTTCTTAACGAATACATTTAATGAAAATCCTGTAGTTTTGGGTTTTGTACAATGCAATTATATGTTTTAAAGAATAACAAACTAGGAGAGAAGATTGAAAAAAGTAAATTAAGCAAAAATTACATTTAATCTTCAGTACCATAAGTATTTTTCTAATGATGCTTTAAAATTATTTAACATATTTATTTCAGTTACCTTTTTTTAACTGTCTTTCCCACAAAAATTATTTATTTGCTATATTATTAATTTATAACATCAATGATACTGATAGTTATTTTGTAGTAGGGACGCCCAGAGAAAACAAGATGCCTGGACAGTTGCTTATTTAAAACAAAAGTTCCACACCACCCACCCAATACATAAATTGAATTCATTTGTCCATGCAAAAGAAATAACTTATAGTTGTGAATTTGAATTAGATGTGAATGCATTTTCATTGGTTTTGAATTTAAACAAAATTTTTGGGGCCTCAATTAAGTCAGGGCTTGGGGCAAGCTTCCAACCCTTTTGGGTGCCCCTGTTTTGTAGTTTAATTCTATTTCGTAAACTGTGGGAAGTCCAGTGACTTAGTTGTCTTAGTGTTACAAGAAAACTACCAAAGGATATTTATCAAACAAATATTTATAATATGTAGTATTTATTTTTTTGTTTTTCTAGCTCAGTTAGATAAAAGCATATTCAAAGTTTCACACTGGCAAATAATACAATGGAAGGTACAGTTCCATAAAAATTAGAAGTTTTGAAAAAGAGTCAAGTATTTGCAAAATGCTTTCAGCTACATGAGTACATAAAGTTAAATTCAATAATTTCTTGAAAATGTACAACATGTAGGGTACAGTAAGATCTGAAAACTGCATTTAAAATTATATAATTATATAATTTATAAAATTCTTTACATATGAGATATGGTGATGAAATATGCCAGTGCATCATGCCAAATGCTTGTGACAATAAATCGAACATTGCATTCAATACATAGTTTTATCCAAGAGGCAAAAATCATTTTAAATTGAACATTTTTCTGGACACTAAATAATCTAAAATTCCTCAAATGTAATTATGAAATGTAAAATTGAAAAATATATAAAAAACACAGCATTCATAATTAAAACATGAAATACACAAATTATTTTCAATGTTACTGGCAAAACTCAAGACACTTTCTACCACTTAACTAATTTGATTACATAAGTGGATTTTGTGTATTACTGACTACAAAACAGATGGTATAACATCTTTTACTCTCAAAAATCTACAAATGAGATCTAGATATTTCTCTTTTAGGAAAAAAAGTAGATTTTCTTTTCTTGAAAATTTCACATCAGAGGATTTATCCAATAATTCAATCTTATATTTTTTTATCTACAAGGTGTCTCCAAATAACATGGAAACATTAGAACACAAAAATTAAATTTATGTTATACCAAAAATGCACAAGCTATTGGCATGGAAAATTTAAGGATACAGTGTACTGGTATGATTCTTTAAATTTGGCAAGTACAAAACTATCAAAGTGAATATACTTAATCCTGCATATATTTGGTAAGAAACAGACTACTTATGATTATTATACAGCCCAGGCCATATCAAAAATTAAAAGGCCTACCACCCTTAAGAATGTTATCTTCCTAGAGCTCATACAAAATAAAACACTACAATATATTTACACAAAAACACCAGTTGGATTTGTCTGAGTTATATAAAAATAGTTCTATATTCACACTTCCATTTATACAATGCCATTATGAAGGCAAACAAATTGAAACAATCCTCCCTGTTTATAAACAAATAATTTCCCATTGTTACAAAAAATAGCATAGATTTTTGCAGCCATGATTGTCCTTTCTGCTGAGTTCCATGAAATCTAAAACACACTCTGCATTCACCCAAACTATGAACAGCACAGAACAAGAAGACATCTTTCAATTAAATTGGATTATTCTACAAATTACTTAAGCATAACGCCTACCACATGCTTCAAACTATATATTTCATAATTATGCAAAGCAATTGTATAGATACAATGCTATTCAACATTACTACGTACATTAATATAGTAAATTCAGAAGCTAAGTAAAAGTATTTGATTATATAAAGAACGGTATCCAAACTGTTCACTATATTTGAAATAGACGCAGAAATTGAACTATCTACAACATGATCATATTACACAAATTACTGGAAATTGGAAAGATAACTCCTTGTTATATGCTCAACACATTCCAAGAAAGTATGCAACATGTACACACTTATTTCACAGAAAAGAACCTTTAAAACCCAGCAAAGGAATCAAGCATGGCATCAACTGAGCACAGTGCAATCACAATGTCAGAAAGAAGGCTAAAATACCCTTTTGCGTGGCACTTCAAATCCTTGAGCTAAACTGGAAGGTGAGTGCCGGTGCACTCACAGGTACCAATGTTTTGCACACTCAAATTCCACTAAGTACCCATAAAACATAGCTTAATGCAACTATGCCTATATTTATGCACTAAGTACTATCCAGTGAAATCATGCTTGCTAGTTTATGTTCTGCACAATGTACACCTCTGAAGTTCATATGAACTAGTTAAAACACTGCCAAACAATCTGGCATGTTAATTTCAACACTTTTTCTTGATATTTAAAGCAAGTGCTAACTTGTACTTGATTTAGTAAATAAAATAGTGCCACATGTTTTTAGGCTGATACGATGAAATATATTGAAGCAATGTCTTAAAGAGCAGGTAACAAGTTATTGCACTCTTGGCATCTTTGTTATACCTGAGAGGCATCAGGCCAAACACTATGCATGTTAAAGCAAGGTATTATACCTTTGCATAGGAAAATACAATTAATTCTGCTATGCAGAAAACTTCAAATGCTTACAGAAAAATCAAGAATCATATTTTAAAAACTGTGAAAATATGGATTTGGAAACCCATTAAAAATGCATCATTAATATTTTTAATGAAGAGAGATTTAAAATACCACTGAACGTTAATTTTTTCAGTGTTACACGAAATATTTCGCTCGGAGATCAACAAAAAAGTAACGGTCATTTACTTTTTTTTTTTTTAATGTCTGCATTTTGATAAAATGTCCTTGCACATATAGATTCCTTCAATATTCTTCTTGACATAAGGATTGTTCAAACATAAGAGATCACTCTTTATGTTGATGATCATGCTCCTTCTGTTGCTTACGCCGGGCTGCTTCAGAGGGCTCCAGCACAGTCGAAGAATTTGTGCGTGGAACCAGATGTACGGATCCATCAGCAGATTGTTGCAAGCTATATTCATAGGGAGAGTATTGGTTTCCATCAGGGTCTCTCAGTGACTGCGGATGTGAAAAAAACATAACAGTGAATTGATTAAATTTTACTTTTATAATACAATATAATTAAACTCATGCCTACACGAATAGCACAGTATTTACTCCCAGAACTTTATATTTGTTTATTCCCCTATTGTAAGGCTTTTATGAGAAACTGAGATTGCAATGTAAATGCTTATAAAAGAAGTTATTTGTTTTCCTCACCTGGAAGACATGATGGTATAACTGAGAAAACTTCTCTTTCACACGTTGTCTTTCAGCAAGCATATATTCACGTTCCATCATCAGACGATTTTTGCGATCCCTCATTTCTTTTACTTCATCTGCTAAACTTAGGATTTGATCCAGTTTGCGCTTTCGACAATTTTGGGCTGCAACCTGAAATCAACACCACCAAAAATTATAATATTTATAATTATACTACCACAGGAATTATACAATTCACATTCACTCAAACAAATTAACATGACAATTATTCTGACCTTATTTTTTCCTCTACGACGAATATCACGAATGAGAGAAAGTTGGGCTTCACTTAAGTCATATTTTGACAGTCTTTCATTGAATTCATCCATGGGTAAGTTAATGATATCATTCACAGGAATAGGGATATTCATTGCACGTGCTCGCTTTTCATCCCTATTCAAGTGCTCACCAGCAGAATCCTTCCGCCCTGAAACACAAAAAATCAATAGTACAAAAAACTTCCAGAAAGGAACACATAACAAAACTGTTCGTTCAGAGTAGCATGCAACCCAAGTTCAATAAAACCACTCACATTCTAGCCTATCAAATCTTCTTTCACTTTTTAAGATTTCAAGGATTTCTACTCTTGTCCTTTCATATTCTAATATTAGTAATAATTTTGAAGTAATGCAAACTGCATTCAAAGTAACTTTATTTGAAGTAATTCAAAGTAACTTTAAAGTTGATGATGATGGTAATTAGTTTTAAAAGTTTTCATCTGAGTGAGCTTCATTATTTTTATTGAATTGAACACTTTTATTAAATACAATTCATTACATCAATTAATAAATTGAACAGAAAAATTTAATTCACAATGTCAACTCACCCTTCTGCTTGTCTCGGGCAACTGGCCTTTGCATGTTACCACTGCTTTCAGGGGGGAGGTGGTATGAATGGTTGTGCTGAACATGCTCCAAATTGGGTCTAGCATCTAAATAACAAAGATATGGGAGAATTTTAATTGGTCTCTTAAATGGCTAATACATTCTTAAGAATGTGATACTTCAATACTTATGTAAACAACACAAAGTAAATACTGTAAATAAAGTCACAATCTTTCACTTTCACATCAGGAATGTTGGATAAATACAATTTGTAAATATGTTGTAGCATGAGGTTGACCATCATTGAGTAAATTACCAAGGGGAAAATCGCATCAACCTGATTAAAAAGGCGAAATAGCTCCTTAAGTTGCTTCATGCATTTCAGGCCATTGGTTTATGTTTAAAATAAACATTAATAAGATCAAGTCTAGATCCTGTTCTCTAGAATCTCATGACTTAAGTCATGACACAAGCTACTGAATGAAGTTCTCAATTTTTTTTTGCGATCATCATCTGACTTTTTCTCTCTATTTATACAGTAAACTACAATATGAAGTGAATAAAATATAATATGAAACTATAACATAATATAATGAACCTTTATTTTGGAATGTAAGTGGATTACTACAGATTTTACAAAAACATTAATCCATGCACATTCAATAACAGCCATAACAGCATAACATGTTAATTAACAAAGCAATTAAAACATTGTACCTATTTGAAGCACTTGGCCAACAACTATCTCTGTCACAATTTTCAAAAATTAAGGTTTAAAGAAAAATGGGTCAAAGTTATAGTCAATAAGAATTCCTTGCATTAGTTTTTAAAAATTACAACAAATGACATTCGTAGGTCAAAGATAAAGTAACATCTTGGAAGAACAGCCTACATTTATACCACCTTGTGTCTGTAGAGTAAGGTGTGAGAAGGTTACAGTGACATTATACTTTTACTTTGACAAGTAGTTCTCCAGTTTTTGATGGGTAGGAAATTCAAATCATTTTCTCCAAACAATGTCAGTTACTCAAATTAATCAAAGAGAAGTACAAGAATATTATAGTTGCACAATTGGAAAGATATTCAAAGAAAAGAAAAAATGAAGTCTGCAATATTTAAAATGTGATTTTAAAACTCTCATTCACGCTGAAGATGTTTCTAGCACTGCTAGTTTTGAATTAAATAAGTATTTATTATTAATTTATATTATCAAAACCTTTAATATTCATAAACAAAATTCAGCTCCATCAACCAAGCCAGAAAAGTTGCCACTAGAAAATCACTGAAGCTTACCTCATATAAAACAAAACAAGTATTTTTTTCAAAACTAAGAATGTAAAAACAATTACTTATTAAAAATTTGCCATATATAAATCAGAAATATACTTCTTTTACAAATATTTGTTTGGAATTTAATTTGTAGTACATGAAATGCTACATTAGAACGCCTAATCAAAAAAATTACATTTTTATCGAACTGTTTGAAAATGTTAAAGAAAATAATTTTTGTTTTATTGTCAGAATTTCATTTCATTTCACTTTACCACTTTTATTTGTTCACTTATTTTTCTTTTTAAAAAAAGTCAGTTGAACTCTACTTATTTGTATTCAATTAACTTTATAGGGGTGTGACATTGACGTCGATGTTTTTAATACATCTATATCTTTATAGAATCATCCATGTATGTAATGTCAATTTATTGAAACCAATAGTCTTTTAAAATTGATATTTTGAGTTCAATGCTCTTCCTTGACTGATAATTTGTAATAATAAAAAACTGCAATAATTTTCTCTTATCCATAAATTGAACATTCATCAGAGCAAAATCACCAAGAGTGACAAAAAAGTTAATTAAATTTTTGTTCGTAAATGTAGTGTATAATTTTTGTATCATCCAATAAAATAATAAAAGTTTGTAAATTGTTCTGCAATTTTTTTCACTGTCAGCAATATCTCCATTATCTATATATAAATAAAAGGGAATGTGCATATGTGTGTCGCAGAAAACTACTCAACCGATTTTGCTGAAAATTTCACACTTCGTTCTTATTAATAATGAGTGTGTTTAAAGAGTGGCGTGAATTAAATTGGCCACTTAGAGGGAATTGTTGAAGATTTATTCATTTATGACGACTCAAGCATCCCTAAACTCTATGCACCCTTCCACATAGTCAAGGATTATGTGTGTCTTCACTGCATACAAGTATTTCATGCCTGTGATTGTGAAATATTGGCCGGAATCATTACTTAAATCTCAGAGTAGTAAATCAAATTTCTCCAAGATAGTGTCATAGCAAACGTGTGTCCAAATGTGAGAGAGAATGTTTTAAAAATAGGATACTTGACAACCGTGTCCAAACTAGGATGTAGAATAAACCCATACTTGCGAGAAAGTCTTCCATCAATTAGAATTTTTGCTATAGATAACAGCATAGTGAAAAATGTCATTAACAATCATATGACCCTTAGTGTGTGATATGTAATAAATTGCAAGAATGGAGCATTGTAGGGTCCACTAGTAAGTTAATAAACATGACTTATGTGACAAGAAAAACACCCCCCCCCCTCTCCTGCACACTGATGTTCAAGGTCACTACAATAAGGTTTAGAACCATTATGGTTTTGGGACAATGTATTTTGAATATCAATGTTTTTATTTTTTGCATTCTTTGTCTGAATGCTTCAATTGTTCTGTCATCTTTGGGAAACTATTCACAACTTGAAATGTCACTGGTACATCCTAACATATTCCCTCCCACCCTAAGTTAAACATTGTTTATGTGCCATTTCATATACAAGGAAGTCCACATTTCTTATGATTGTTCATATAGCCAAAGAGCTGAAGTAACACACCTGCATGATGACGGGCAAATTCCAGACTGCAGCTATATTTCATCTCAGGGGGCTTAGCTCCCACAGCCCCTTCCACTGGCCCACTAAAAGCATTCCCAGGGGCAATTGCTGCAGTCCCAGCCTCACCATACTCATATTTGATCGGCACACTGGGGGGCAAGCTGGCAGCGGGACCATGGTTGCCCAGAGAAGATGCTGCAGTAAAGCGACATTGAATAACAAATGATTTCACCTCTTCCAGTAAAAGGATAAGATAAGGAAAACTTCCTTTCTTTGAAAGAAGACTAAATGAGACTTCCAACACTTAGTTATATTCCAGCTAAGCATTAAAAGATTTTTTTCCAGGAGAGTCCCAAAACAACAGCTAATCTATTTAGAGATTAGTACAATGAAAACTATTGAACCAATCAAAGTCATAAAGATATTTTCATATCTTTTTCAATTATATGTAACAATGAAGTAACTTCATTGTTATATAAAATTAAAGTTCAATCTGCCTAACATTGAGCTAGTCTAAAATTGATAATATTAAAATTAAAGAAGTCTAACCATAACAATGGAACAAAAGAGGAACAATAATTTTTTCATAAGACTACTGATGTATTTGTGCATTTTTTAACACTGAGGAACATTTTTTTCATAACAAATCTTCAAAATTAAAAGTAGATGACAAGAACAAAGAACTTTTTAAAACAAGAGGAATTACTTCCTATTCAGTACTGCACCTCTATTTCTCCCCCCCAGAATTTGTTGTCCTTGTTTATTTTTAAAATATGTTTTGGTGAACATTTATCATAATAATTCTCTAAATATTAGTTTATCTAGTTATTCATGTACAAAGGAAATATTCTTAACTTGGTTGACTAAGACACTCCACAATATTGCCAATGTTTTATTGACAAAACATTAGCACAACAATCAGAATTCATAACAATTTTTAGTAATATGATAAGAAATACTAAATGAATGAACCAATCAACATCTTATCCTACAACACTGAACTCTTCTGTATGTTCAAGAAAGTGAAATAAATGACATTCATAGGACACTGTTAGTTTATGTAATCACACATATAGAAAATAGAAGATCTAATGATTAACCTTAGAAAAATTGTGCAAAGGTTAATGAGAATCTTTCAGTTACCAGTCAGCAGTCTATGATAGTAAATAGGCTAGGAAACAAAAATTATACTTTCCATTTTAAAATGTAACTGTTATTCATAGAAATAATTGAAAATAAATGACTTGCACAGATTTAACAAAAATGCCTTTTAATGGAATCATGCATGTTTACAAACAATTATTGTCATCATTACTCACCAGCACCCTGCTCCTGAAAGTATCTCTTCCCAAACATCTGATGTTTTTTCTGGGCCATGGGAGGCATACGATGGGAATCTGCAGTACCAACTGCTCCCCCAGAATGTTGTCTTCCAGAGAAGCTATAGTCATATGGACGATATTTGCTGAAAAATTTCAGAAAATTAGTCTGTGTGGATGTGAAACTCCAAATCTTGTAAATCAGTCTTTACTTTAGGAGAACACTTAATTTTGAGATGTGTAGTTATCATAATACATAATGCCTTAATGAATAAATAAATAAATAAATTAAAAAAAGTAAGCGTTGTCACTGTATTATTAACAGGCATAAATAACATAAAATAAAAAGTTATTTTGTTTTCCACAAAATGTATTAGTCAATGAGACTTCTGGGATTAAGAAATCATTCTTGATAACACTTCTGACAATGAAACCAAAATGACATTAAAATATATCATGATTTATATGGCATGAAATAATTTACCTGCCATGATAATCCATTGAATAGTGCTCCCCAGCAGTTGTGTGGCCTGAATCAGAACCTGTTTCCATCCATTCTCCATCTGACAAAGATGGAACTCGCTCGGAGCCCATTGAGCTAACAGCACTGTCTGATGATGCATCCATGCGCTCCTCTGATGCTGGGGGCATTCCCACACTACTTCCATTGTTAGAGCTGTTATTCTCCAGCATTCGCATGGAGTACATTCCTGCAACAATACAGTATTATGACAAAATACCAACACATCGAAAGTAAAACATTGCTACAAGTTTTGAAATTTTAAATCGGAAGTGCAATGCCACATGAAAATCATACAATTTAATGATTTATAAGAAAACAAATATATTATCTGAGACTAATTAAAGCATTTTTAATTCAACTGATTTTCTAGGTAATATATGCTGAGTCATGGACATCATTTGTGAATTTAAATGCTATAAAGAAATGAAATGAATATATTATCAATGAAATAATTGGAATATTCAATTTCATTAAGAAGACTTGCTTCCTATAGATAACACGTATAATAATAACAAGGAAACAATATTTGATTGCTTTTTCTTACACTTTTCACAGAATCATTTGTATAATTTTTAACTCATTAATAAATAGTTGTCAATATTTCTGTAGTACCTCCTCGAAGATCCAGAATTTGAAAATCCATTTTTTTGTAATATTACTTATCAAAATTCAACAACAGCTACAGCAACAGCAACAACAACAACAATGACAACAATAACAATGACAAAGACAAACTTCTTGCCCAAAATTGCTCAAATGTACAAAACTATTAATTTTCATCATTTTTCCAGCAAGAAAAGAAGCCATAATAAAAATTAGCAAACAGAATAAAGAACGTCTTTGGCAGTGATGAGACTGAGCATCAAAGGCAGCAGCTCAGGAAGCTAACAGTGTACAAGGAGGCAATCCAAAGCTGATAACACAGCTGTTATCAATCTCCAACTGAAGAGGTCACCAGATTAACCTTGCATTAACGCAGTTGCCCTCCAACAGCTACACAACCATTACCAACATTTACCACAAATAACATTGGATGACATGCATATTTTGTTTATTCAGAAAAATTGTTTGTACAATAAGAAGTAATGGATTATTTTAAAGAAAAGTAAAAACCAACCAAATTAAAAACAACATAAAAATTTACAAATATGGAATGAACCACAAGAAAAAACAAAGCAAAAAAAACAACAACAAACAACAGCAGCAATCAAAGTAAAATCAAAAGTGAAGTTCTCAAAAATCTAGCCATATTAACATATCTTTGCAATGAACTAAATTTATAAATAGAAAAACAACCACGTGAAGCAACATAGAATCCCATTACATCATCTTTGCAGATACAGTGATCTACAAACGAAATGAACTTCTGTCTTTCTTTCATCATAACATCATTTACAAAAAAATGTTCCAAAGATAAGCTGAATATATTAATTTTTTAAAAAATTATACTTAAGAGAAAACAAAAAATTAGTGCAATAATGAAACACAATTATTATTTTCAAGTCTATCCAGATGCAAATTCCTTCAAATTATGAAATGTATTCAATATGAAGAAATATATAAAAAAAAATGTAAACAATACATGGATTAAGCTCACAATGTAAATAAGCAAATTTTAAATATTTATTACTCAAGAATTACAAATCTTGAGAGCCTGGAGAAATTTATAAGGTTATAAATGAAGTCAGTCACAGATGTTCACATGAAGTAAACAATTAATATTTAAATATCCAATAGAATGCATAAGAACAGAAGGACCTTATATATACACATGCAATAACATGCACTATTGAAAAATAAATATGAAAGTATTTTCAATAAGGTAAAATATTTAATCTCAGCTTACAAAAATGAAATTGATTTTATTGTCAAATTCAAGTATATTAGATTTTACACCTGAGAGAAAATTTGTATGTCAGCAAACACAGCTGCAGGAAATTAAAAACTGCTATGTGCATTGACATAGAAAAATGGATAATTCACTTCTATCATCTGCTTGTTCTTGAGGTGCATTGAAGCAGAAATTGGCCCTGGAGATTTGGGTCACGAGTAAATAATTTCACAGAACACCAATAAGATAAAATTTACATGTTAAAATGAAAATTATGAATTGAAACCTGATATACAACATGGTCTCCAAATGCACACCATTTAAAAACACTACGATGAATTATTACAAGAAAAAAGAAGCACACTTAATACAAACATGAATGACGAATCAATTCCCACATTAGAAGTCAAGATGACTCAACAGGATAGTTCTTTTGATGGACACAAAAGGCCAGTAGGTAAAGGAAAACAAATAACAGTAAATAGACAAGAAGGACTATAAAAGTTAAGTACATTAAAAACACACACACACACAATGTCACAACAGTATTGCTTGATTTAAGTATATTCTTTATAGTAAATATTTTCAGAGACCTGATATGAATGAAATTTGAAGAAATAATGAGGGTAAGAAAAATTACAATAATTGATTGTAAGAGTAATATTTATTGTCACTCTAACTGAATTTCAAAATGTGTGTAAGATTCGAGTGTAAACATGTAAGAAGAATAAACAAATATTAAAATTACCTGTTCCATGGCATGGGCAACATATCACAGATGTACCACGATTAGGAACCATTCTTCAAAATATTTTGTACTATATTTTCTGAAATATACTTGTGAAATATTCTTAGGTATTTGCCAAATAAGTGCACATATCTATTCTCTTTAGATGTTAGATTGAAGAACACACTGACAATAATATTTCTGATCCAGAATTATAGATCTTTCTCAAAATAAAATTCTTCACAGAAGACCTACTCATTTTCAGTGATGGAAAATTGATGAGTCACAGACTACATGGGAACTTACAATTAAATTTACTCTGACTACATTTACACAAACAACACATGTACAATTGCGAAGAGCTGAATAAACCAAATAAATGTATTGTTCTAAATACAAGCACTTTAACAAATAGCATTCTTAGAAACAAGTGATAGTTCAGGAAGTTTTTCAGAAGACAAAGCACTGACTAAGCACTGAAGATCTTCCACACACAGACACAGGCAGTCAGACATACATACATACACACACACACAGCCCACTGCTTATCAGCTGGCACGTGTTCTTGTGAACACAGGTAGTGTACACGTCACAGACCAGGCAAAGCTTCTGACTGCTGCGTAGGTAGGAGTGTTAGTGGCAGAGTGATAACCTCACTCAAGGCCATAAGTTCCTTAGGTAAGGTACTGTTTGTAGAAAACAAGGGAACAGTATGATTTTTTGACAATATGATAGAGACAATCCCATGAAATTGACATTTGGAAGAACATGAAGAGAATCGTTCAATCAGATTTTGAAAATGTCCTACCAAGAATTGTTTATGATTTTTTTGTAAAAAGGCTCAAATAAATATGAATAACTTTCAGTTACTACAATTACCTCAAATCATTGAAAATAACACAATTTCTTGAATATTTGTTTATTTACAACATAATTTGGAATACGAGAATAATTTCACATCATGAAAATGAAAAATATTTTTTGTAAATTCTCATAATATTATTTTCAAGATCAAGAATTTTTAAAACTTCAATTCTTCAATAAAACTGTTTTAATAAATATCATCCTAATATTAACATGGAGAGAAAAGTGAATTATGAAATTAAGCAAAATTTAACACCAGAAACATGACAGTTGACGATCAACTATTTAAGTACGAGAAATTATCACTGTTCACTATCTACAAAAGTTTCATGCACAACTACAATGATATTATTTCTATAGAAATATATGTCCACTTATATACTGAACGATTAAGTTGCTTCCTGGAAAATATTTCTATACAGATACAGTTTCCATGAAAAAATTAAAAGTTCTTTGAAGGGCAGAGAAAAAGAATTTACATATGACCAACCTTTCTCACATGTTTGCCATTCTTTGGCATTAGTCTGTGCAGGGATTCCTCCTGCAATAGAAGTTTCAATGAGATATATCCAGAAGCACATTTATAAAACAAACAAATTCAATAAGTACTTTTTATATAGTCACAAGAATTATCAACCCAGCCTGCACAGTTATTAGCAACCAAATATTTATGATTCATTATTTACAATGGAGGTTGCAAAAAGAAGGCAAGATGAAAATAACTAAAAAAAAGTTTTCACTAAAAAAAAAGTAATTCCACCTAAAATTCATGAAAGTCTCCAACAAAATTTTCTTTTAATTTTTTCATCCATAAATTGAAAATATTTAAAAATTCATATATAATGAAATCTTTATCTTGATCTACTAAATTATTACAATTTATAATCTATCAGAGAGAATGGTACGACACTTCTGGTTTACAATAGAAAATAATGACAATTCATTGCTTTGTGAATACACGTCAGTGCACGTTCAGAGATTATGTGGGAATTTACAATTTAAGAGATTATTCTTATTGTTGCAATTATAATTTACAAAAATTAAAACACAAAGTAGGGCAATGCTCAAACAAAAATCACTACTTGAATTCTCACGGCAATTTCAAATATTTAAAAAGCGGCAAGTTCTTTTTCATATATAAAAATCAATTTATATTTTTTAAACGTGGATCACATATTCCTTAACTATATTTAGACGGCAAGAAAATAAATAACAAAATCCATAGGCAATAACATGTATGAAGAAATATGTTTAAAAATTTAATAAAAATTGCAAAAATATGCAGAAATTTCCTCTCATAAATGCCTAGACACGCTGGTAATACAAATGTCTGTGTCCACTTTCACTAACATATTTCATTGCTTTTGCTCTTTAAGTCCAAAGTGACAAAATGTTAATGAATATTGCATACTTGATTAATTTACTTGATTGTTTTATAACTCTTAATGTACATATAAATATCTACTTTTTTAATATTATTCAGAAGCACTTTTTCTCAGTTTCATCAATATATAATCAAACACATCATATTCCAAAAATTTAATATTGGATTAGAGATTTCTCACCATCATTCATGGCCATATCCATCAGTTGCAAGTCTTCATCATTCAAAAAAGAAGACAGGAATCCCTCTGTAGTTTGATTCATTTCTGCTGTGGAGTTCTGTAAATCAATTTTAGTAGTAAGGGAAGAACTTCAAAAGGTACAATAAAACAAAATGTTTTTTAAGTTCCTTTTTCTCAAAAAAATTAATGCCATGTAATCTTTAAATAATTCTAAATTCGGAGGTACAAATCAAAGATTTTAAAATCTTTTAATTAATGTTTAGAAACTTTTGTAATCTTACCTGATAGTACATCATATCATGGGGATTCTCCATTTTGTATGATCCACCAGGTGCACTTTCACCCATAGGCTCACTGCTGTTTGTGAGGTTCATAGATGTAGCAACAGCAGAACCCAAGTTAGAAGCACCACCTGAGAAAGAAAGAAAAGCAAAAAATTATAAATTTCATCTAACATATTTTTCTGATTTTATGACGGTAACAAATCAGTTCTATAACAAAAGGCATTAATGTTTACCTACAGAATTGATTCTATTTCCACTGCGAAAGGTATTACTATAATACATTTTTAATGAATTTAACCAATAAGTTAGCAAGAACTGGAATATTGTTATTTTTTTAATGTATTAATGATTTCAAAAGTTTGAGCAAAATAAGATTATATACATACAAAAAATCAATTACTATTAATTTAATTTAATAAAGTAAAACAAAGTCTTACTCATGGTGACATTGGAATATGGGCTAGACGCATTGAGATCACCCATTGGAGGAGCCAAAGTGGCATTGTGCAACAACACACTGCGGCTGTTGTCAGGGGGCGGAGGATACGGACTTCCAGCTGCTGCACCATAGTTGTGGTGGTGATGATGGTGGTGGTGATGATGAGCAAATGGGTGGGCCATCGAAGAGGCTGTGTCTGCTGGTGGTCCTGGCAGACTCAGCAGGCTGGCGAGATCTTGCCAGCGCTGCTCCATGCTCATAGCACGAACCAGAGGCATGCGACCCTAGAAATAGACAGAGCGATAAAATAATTTTTACACCGTGCATGGTTAAAAATAATTATAATTTCATTCAAATTCAGGAAAATATTAAGAAATAAAAGAAGCTACCAAAATTATCATTTATTTGCTTTTTAAACATGACTTAAATAGCTTACATGATGTAAAGTTTTAATTTTTGAAATCTTATCACAAAGTTCATTACTGCAGCAACCCTATTAAAATTAAAAAAAACTCCTTTACTTTCTATAACTGCCACAGAAGGATTTATAACAAACATCACATGTTCAAAGAAAGCAACATAAAAAAAGGATCATGTTAATAATGTTAAAAATATAGAACAGAGTTGTGGTCATGACAATGAGTAAGGGATGGTGTGCAAGTGAGAATTAGCATACTTTATAAAATTTATAAATTTAAATTTTTTTTGATATTACAAAGAGGATTGATATATACAAAGAAATGCCATATGTTGCAATATGATGTCTTGGAAAATGAAAGTTGAAGTCCTTTGAGGGTAGATGCAAATGAAGCAGATGGTGTATGCTTCTAGTAGTAACAATGGTGTGCAATAATAAAATTAAAAATTTAACAGCACTTTCTATTTATGAACAAAGCCTCATAATATTAATGATTGGTAGTTGAACTTTCTTTGTAAGGTTGGCTCATTGAAAGAGAGACACTTTAAAAGTTCATAAAATTGCCTTGAATTGAATACCTTGAATCACATTCCATAAGCTATCAACAGCCAATTGACAATGTTACAAAAAAAGGCACATTTATTTCAGGCCCACTGAAAAATCATTTTCAGTCTATGCTGAAAGATTAGAGTAGAAATCGCTAATATAGTATAGTATAGAGAAAGTTATGAAATACTGCGGAAAATCGATTTTGGGATTTGAACACAAATATGTTTGGGTTCCCCTGATACTTTGGGTGCCCCCCCCCCCCCTTGTCTAATTGTCACTCTGTGAACAATATAAGCGCCCTAAAAATTTTAGAATTTTTTCCAATAAGAGTACTTTCTGGTTGCTTACGTCTGACTGAAAACTCACCACTTTTGAAAAACAATCTTTAAATTTCAGGGGTACTTTACATGCAGCCCCTGGGATATTTTCAATATTTTCTCAGAAATGGCCCTATGTTTTTTTCTTTAAATTTCATGTAGGACTAGAGTGAAATACTATTGTGTTCACTTTTAATGTTGACTCTGAATTTGGAAAATTGCAAAGTGAAATTATTTAGGGATTCTCCAGCAACCACAAAATTGGAGATAAAAATCCTTTCTTCAAATTAAATTTGTTCTCCACAATTGGTTTTTTCATTAACGTCAGACACATTTTTTGAAAATTAAAAACAATGTTTTGTGGGTCCTTGATACAGAAAAATCGAATGAAAATGTATGTCTGTCTATCCGTCCGTCCGTGAGCAACGCTAGCTGCTACATCGTTCAGCCGATTTTTTCCAAAATTGGTATTCCTCTATCGATCTGGCCGATGTTGCTCTTTGAATTTGAAACCTATATTTAATTTTGGGATTATTTTACATAGAGACCCTAGGGCATTTTCAAATAGATGACTCTGTGGTATTTTATTAAATTTTGTTGTATAGTGTGAAGGACGTTTAACATAATTATAATCTCATGTTCATTGAAAACTCTGATTTGTGGAAAATTGCAGAAATTCAATTTTTTTCGGCGTTTTCCTACAACTACAATTAGGAAGACAGACTTTTCCCCATAATGAAATATATTCCTTAAAGATAGATTTTGAAATAATAGTGTAGAAGTTTTCGAAAAGGAGTAGTTTTTGCGCAATTTTGCGTACAAAATACGGGCGAGAAAGTGCTTGCTGTTTTAGCACCACTAGTTTGATAACTAACTCACGCCGTTAACAACACATGAATTGTTCCGAAATGCACAAACTTCCGAATTGTTCAGCCAGATGGTCCAATAGCATCACATTTCATAGACACCAGGTCGGATTTAAAATTTTTATGGAAGTCTTCTCTCCACAAATTTTTGTTTCGTAGCATATCCTTAAACCATACAATACAACCATGAAATACAAAGTAGTGGTGCTAAAACAGAAAGTTCGTTCTCGCCCGTACTTTCACACAAAATTACACGAAAAGTACTCCCTTTTTTGAAAACTTATAATGAAAATAAGAGAGTTAGTTCTATTGCAGTTCCCAAGAACCAAATATGAAATTGAAGTCAACTTTTCAAACATTGCTTGGCCGTTTGCAACAAAATTCTCAATCTTACACATCTTGTCTGTCACTAGCCTTAGATCCTTCTAGCCTTAGACTCTGGAATTAGCGAAAATTGTACCTTATCCCCATAGCATTGTGTAGGTGGAATATCCGGGCGTTGCTCGGGAATATGTCACAATCATCTACTAAACAGACTTGTCCGTCTTGCCCACTCTGTCCACTCAGTGCGCATTACTCGAGGTATGTCCATTGCTAAGGGTGCCATTGCCTAAGTATGTCCTAATGGTTTTATTTGTAAATGTCACCACCTTCCCATTCATCTTTCTAGGGGTTTCTTACCCCCATTGTATTATTTTCTCCATTGAAGTTCCCCAGTAATAATGCATATAAGGTTTTGTTGAAATGACATAGTTCTTGCGATGAAGAGTGAAGTTGGAACACGAACACACACAGGGCATTAAATATTTTGCAATAGGTACATTTGTGAGGCTATGTTTACACTGGCGGTGAAAAAGTACAGTACTACAAGTAATAATAATTACAATTATTATACTACCATAAACACGTGTAGTTTTGCACACATTTTGGAGAAATGAAGAAATGGCGTCTTTTGAAAAGCTGTATTTCGCTTGGAAATTGGTTTCAAAAGAAATGTTTAATACAAAATTTGTAGGAAATTTTCTACACTTTAAAATTGATATGAATATTTTTTCTTCAGGACTTTCGATTAAAGAGTGAAAACAAATAAATAAATAACGGTTTTACGCGTAGCGCGCTGACTTCGCAGTTGGAAGGCCCGGATTCGATCCCCGGGCCGGCCATTCTGACCTGGGTTTTCGTGGTTTCCCCTCAGTTATACGGGCGAATGCTGGGAAGGTTTAAAAATGCCGCGATCATCTCTCATCATCATCCTATCATCTCAAATTTCATAATTCAAGGCTTAACAACCTTGTCTTAGCAAGGTATACAGCCGAAAAGCTGATCACCATAATGACACACATTTATCTCTCCGGGATAGAATATGATGATGATGATGATGATGATAATAATAATATTAATAATAATGTGTTTTTTCCTGACCTCCCGGCATTAGCACATGGGCTAAAAGATCGTAAACTTTGAGTTTTATCAAGTGCGCGGGTACATACGAGTACAACATAACCAAGAAAAAGTTTTAATGATCTTTTTGTAGGTAAAATGCACTTGTCGAATAATGAATGAGGCATATGTCGGTTTGAAAAGACATTCAAGAATTATAAGAAAGGTCCTTATGTTTCAGATAAAATCAGATTTTATACTTTGGTTTTTGTAACATGGCCTGTCTTCACGATGGAATATCTCACGCCATTTCGCGCTTTTCCCGGTTGTGCCACTAATGTCACATGATCGCGACCGTATCAGCAGGCGATGTGTCAAGCGGCACGACTGAGAAAGACACAAAATGCCGTGAGATATTCCATCGTGAAGACAGGCCCTGACGCCCACACTATAAAAATCCAAGTATATGGCGAGTACAAAACGACGAGATTCTCCCCTTTTCACCTTCACTAAATTGATTAGACAAGAAAAGTAAAATGAACTGAACTGATAAGGAGGATCTGTGGAAAGAATGATAAGAACCAGCGAAGGAAAGCGTAAGCTCGAGCTTTAGAGGAGGATGATGTGTGTGTGTGTATGTGTATGTGTATGAAAAAATATAGGAATCATTAAAGGAAGGCTCAACAGCATACTACTGAAGGGTTGGACATTACAGAATTTTTGAAATAAAAACCAAACGTGTACCATTAAACCTGAATGGGTTCTCGTGGCACCCTTCTTTATTAGTGTGATTATAAAATTGGGGAAAAATTCTCAAAGTGCTTATTTTAATCAGAAATTGCTTACTTATGGACAGGTAATTCGTTAGATATGTTACTAGAGAAGGTAACTCGGCGTTGCATGGACATTTATTTATCATCATCATCCGTTAGATAGGAAAAAGAATGATTTTAACCCATAGTGTAAATTAGAAGAGATTTTATTTCACCCACACCCTGCCCCGCTCCCCCCTTACTTGCAAAATGTGACAATGTGGCGAGTTGGAAAGGCAACTATGATGAAATTTTATAGGTCACGCAAAAGTTTTGACATCATTTCAAAGTAGCTAAACCACTCGCATTCAAGAAATCCAATTTAACAGTTGGCGTGCAACGCTCAGAAACTCAGACCTTCACACGCAGCTAATAAAATTCATCGATATTGGTCCAGTGCTTTAAGAGATTATTGCCTACACACCCAACACTTTTCCTCTCTTCATATTTTAGTATGGGTTAATGCAATACATGTAAAAAGTCAATATATTTTAATGAACATGACAATAAACGAAGGTATATGACCAAAAAGTTTAACTTGATATTTTCTGGTCAAAATTTACAAAAAATCAATAAGTAATCAAGCCATGATGTTTCATTCTTATCCTCACATATAAAACAAAAGCTCTTGAAATATGAGATAAATACTTTTCTGTGGAAAAATTCCATTGTCGTAAGTTTCATATTCCTATCACAATTCACCTGATCACCGTTTTCAACCCTGAAATTATCGGGAGAGTTTCTGACTCAGTGGAGGTTTTCGCAACCATCACTTATTCCCCCTCTTGATTCTCAAATGCATTCACTAGTTATTAAAAAAAATTAAAAGAGATTTCCCTCACTCCTCCGATTTTTTTTTCATATTTTGAGAAAAGATTGTATTAAAAACTTCTCAATACGCTATCTACCTGGTCATTACTATCGGTATCATTATTTCCTTAG